GTTCTAAAAATATGTGATCTGTTTTTATGCTAGTTGTTAGGTAATAGATGCTAAGTAAAAGATTAGAAGATAAGATAAGAGCTTGTAGATAGTGTAATAATCAAACCGAATGACTGTTAATCGGGGCCTCGAGCTTGCGTATACGGGGCCTCGAGGTCGAGTCGAATGCCTGGCTAAGGGCATGTTATGATAATTTTGATGATGGCTCTTTATGACCAATAATAAGCAATAAATAAAAAATAATTAATGAAATATAATAAATATATGTAAGACAATAAATGTAAGCAATATGATCAAATAGAGAGTATGTTTGAGTTAGACAACAGAGAATGTTCTTGTATTTAATGTTGTGAGTAGTATATCGTATGTTGTAGCATGTCTGCAAAATGACCAGGATCCCCTTTATATATCAGGGGGGGAACCCTAACATAATACAAAGTGAATTTATTATAAAGACACGTGGATGATGCAGTCATTTAATGTCATGCTACGGGCATATACTAGCTTGTTAGTCTCAATCAAGTACCTAGGGAACTTCCCGTTTCTCCATCATAATTGTCGATCCACATTGCCCCAGAGCCGGGCATTTGGAAACCCCCACGAAGTTGTATCTCGAGCTCTACCTCGAGCCCTACGAAGCGTGCCTACGAAGCACCATGATGACAACAAAATCGGCCCCTCCAATTTTACCGCATACACATGTTAAAAGTTAATTCCATTGCAAATCCAAAAGTAAAAAACATGCAACTTTTGACTTAATTTTCCAATAACATGAGAAGAGAATGAGATGTCATATATATATATATATATATAAAAGAGGAATCTATACCAGGCCACTTAATTCTTGAAGGGGAGAGGTACCTGCCTTTTTTGGGAAGCATTCTTCTTTGTCAGCTTAATTCCACATTCTATCAAAGTGATCAGAACCGAAAGCTACATCACAAAGGAAAAACAGAAAAAAAGGTATATTATTGGGAAATATTATAAATAAACTTTTAAAAAAAAAACTTGAGTCCGTACAACCAGCAGGTAGCATATTCATGGAGAGTTCAATGGTAAGAAACTTTCCTCTAGGGCCCTCTTTTTTTTCCCTCTTTATTAAAATTTAAATTTGTCAATTTTCTCTTCCAGATTACTTCTTTACTTTTTTTCTTTTTCACATAGTTATCAAGGAAGTAGAAACGTTAAAATAGCATGGGCTACACAGTTTTCGGACTGATCATTCAAAAATAGTCAGTATTTGTAAAGTCATTGAAAAATAGCCACTATTTTGCTGCAACAGGAACCGGTCCAGTATAATATACTGGAGATCGGTGCATCTGTGTATGAACTTCCAGCATATTATGCTGGAACTCCAACGCGCGGAAAGTTCCAACAAAATATACTGGAGATTGGAGCACATGTGTATGAACTTCCAACATATTATACTGGACCGGTATATTATACTGGAACTCCAGTATATTATGCTGGAACTCCATTATAATATGCTGGAGTTCCAGTATACTTATGTTGGAACTCCATTATAATATGCTGGAGTTCCAGTATACTTATGTTGGAACTCCATTATAATATACTTATGCTGGAACTCCAGTATATTATGCAAGAGTATTTTCAGGATTTTGAACAGTATTTTCGTTCAGATTTATCTTTACATGAAAAGTGGCTAAATTTCGAATACTTTTGAAAATGTGACTATTTTTGAATGACCACTTGTAAATCTGGCTATTTTTGAATTTCTCCCAGTAGAAACGACTCAACTGGATTAAGAGTTAAAATAGCACGGTCTAGCCAGTTTTCGGACTGGTCATTCAAAAATAACCATCGTTTGCCAAGTCATTAAAAAATAGTCACTACTTTGTTGCAACAGAGAGTGGTCCGGTATAATATACTGGAGTTCGGTGCACCTGTATATGAACTTCCAGCATATTATGTTGGACCGGTATACTTTGCTGGCTCCAGTATAATATACTGAAGACTGGAGCACCAATACTCCAAACTCCAGTATATTATGCTGGACCGGTATATAATATTAGAACTCCAGTATATTATGCTGGAGTATTTTTCCGGATTTTGAACGGCGTTTTTGTTCAGATTTATCTTTACATAAAAAGTGGCTAAATTTCGATTACTTTTTGAACTATGACTATTTTTGAATAACGACTTGTAAATCTAGCTGTTTTTAAATTTCTCCCGGATTAAGATGGTCAAAGCCCAAAGGGTTAATGAGATTTGATCAAGTAATTAAGTTGGCTTTATGATCATAGCAAATTAAATAAATACAACTACTATTTTGTTATGTATATACTTCCTTATGCTTAAACTCGATATTCTGATAAAATTGGGGCGTAACGCCATAAATTCCTGACTCCTTTTGTTCCTTTTTGAATTTACGGAGTGAATAGTAGATCTTTGGAAGTTTCAGTTTAAAGACCTTGTGTATTAACTGAGACTATGAATAAATTAATTATGAATTACAAATTGGATATATATCGTGCCTCTATTGCTATTTTATTAACTAACATACAAATTAAGCCACAAAGGTAAAGAAGAGATGAAAAAGAATAACAAAGGGCGCGTTTGGATTTTGGTATATGGAAAATATTTTTAATTTTTTTATGTTTGATTGGTTTAAATGTATTAGAAAAATATCATGCATCTTTTTCCAATTGAATGAAAATGACTTTATTACCAAAAGAAGGTTAATATTTTCTAAAAATCTTTTTTNCTACCTCCATCAGCCCCCTACACCCCGGCCACCCCTATCCTCGCCACCCCACCTGGTCCCTAGACCCCGACCTATCACCTTTCTTCTTCGTCCTTACTCGTTTCATCTCCTATACAGTTTGCCTAAATTATATATTTAAAAAAAAATATCTCCTGCTACCTAACTAAACACCCGAAATATGTAAGTTAACCACTTATTTTTCAAGAAAATATTTTAGAATTTTTTTTTTCCTTCATACCAAATGGCAAACACACCCATAGAGGAAAATAAAAAGAAAAGAAAACCAAATCCCCAAGATTGTTTAAAAAAGAGAAAAATTGTATGAGTAAACAAACATCTCTATTCAGATTCCAAGGTCCATTCACCATTTTCTGAAAAATTATTGCAGATGTTCCCATTCCTTTAATGAGAAAAAAAAAAGGATTCTTCATCTTCCCATTAATCAAATGCCATGTAGTGACTATTCTCTTCCTATCCTTAGCAATAGTAAAGTAAAAGAACATGCAAAAGTTCTATGGAATAGTTTTTCTTCTTTTTTTTTTTTTTATTGTCCAATAAAAAAATTTCAGGGGCAAAATATCCAAAATTTCCTCAAATGGCTGGTTCAAGCTAAAAATGAATTAGGTAATTGTGAGCAGCCGGGGTCCTGCAGATACACCATTTTATTTTACTTGATTTGAATATCTATAGTTGAATAAGTTTTAATATATATAATTTCGTACCTATAGCTACAAAGGAACAGTGAGTGCGATGGCATTTAAACCCCTTGATTTAATATGATTATCATCATCATCATCTATGTTCTATTCCTAATTATAGGGAAAAAAATTGATACCTAATTTGTTGTGTGGTTGTCTTATTCTGCAAAATATCGTTCCTAAGAACTCAGTTAAAGCCAACTAAAATGTGCAGTACAGAACACATCTAAAAGACCAAAAAAGGAAACAAGAACATTTACAAGAAGACAAAGCTAAAATAGTGGTCTAGTAGTAATCAAGAAATTATAATGTGGAGCTTGGAATAATTTATCATGTCCTTTTAAATCATTTATTTTATCATAGAAGCATCAAAACCACTGTATACCAAATTCATTGGCCGTTATACTTTAAGGACAACAAGTTGCCAAAAAGTACTTGTTGATAATGTAATGTGATTGCAAGTGTTTAAATTATCCCAAGATAATAAGTAGCATTAGTCCTAGACTTAAAAAAAGAAGAAGTTAAGTACTAACTAAACAAACATCGATTAGGGAATTCAAAGCGACTAGTTTTAGTTGATAATCCTAACTTATTTAATTCGAGTATATATAAGTTATCTCTTCTCACTAGATATTATATGGTGACCCTATTTTAATTTTGGCATTCTGATGGGCGCTTAGTTTATGTTCAACTTCGCAAAAAACTATGTCTTATTCTCTAATTAATAACTTTAACTTCGTCCTTACCCTAATTAAAAACTTTTGGAACCAAGAATCATAATGCATGGTCCCCCACAAGAATATGTTCATTTAATTTCATGTTGCCTTGAATGACTATTTTAGTCCATAAAAGATGAAATACACACAATCACTCCTTTTGCTAATTTTTCTTATTCAACTATATGAAAAAAAAAAATTGCATTTTTACCCTCTGTTGCCTCTTGTTTCTTGATGTTTTGGATGATGAGTTTTTTTGGCTCTTATATGATAAACCAAAGAGTGTGTTGTTTTTCATTTTTATCTTTTCAAAGTGTTCCTGTAATTTAAGATGAATTTATGGCTGTAAATACTTGAGCATGGTGCATGATAACTGTGATATCAATTGTTTACCCCAATTCTGGGCCACGGATAGACCCAAGCTCTTTCTTTTCCTTTTGGAGTTTGAGTTCTACTATGGTGAAAAAAATACTTAAGCAATCAATCGCATGTAAGAAATCACTGGTAATAAAAAAAATTACACGGTCAATAGATATAACTACAACCCTTTAAAAAAATATGGAGATAAGCTTAAACTAATTTAAATTTTTCTGCATTGGTAATTAATGTAAAATCTTTTTTACACTATCAGGATTACTGTAAAATTTCATTAAAGGTAACTGACTATCCACTGTCAGTCAAAGTAACAACGTGAAAATTATAAGACAATTAACCTTTTAGATGTGTGAAATTAAAATTTCATTTACAGTGTAAGTGGGTATAATTAGTTAAATCAAGCTAAGACGTGGCACATAATGAACACGTCATAGTGAAGATGCCAAACCTCAATAAATAGGGCTTCACTTGAACGATTGAGCCCTCAGAGAATTACACCAAATGAAAGATCTATACCCTTTTCGATCTTATAACAAAAGCTCCATACTTCTGTAGATAACACATACTAAACGCACATTCCTTTAACTTTTGATCAGAGAGGAATTAGTTGGAAGCTTTCTGCAGACTGTTTACCGCATACATAATTCTTAGTCCTGTAAAAAAGGTACGTTTTGTGGTCATCTCGACTTTTTGTATTAACCTTTTCATTTTTTTGAAATTGAGTGTTGCGAGGGTCTTATTTAACCTACTAAACTTCGCCAAAACAGATAGTAATAGGCTTTGCGGGGCTGAAGAGTTGGAATTATCGACTAGATGTTGCAAAAATATAGACTTTCTATATCTTCTTTTCTCAAGACTTTATTTTAGTTTTTATAATTTCTTGATTTATACAACCAGCAGCCAGCAGGGGTGGAGACACCATAGGCCCAAGGGCTGCCATCCGACATGCGTCGTTGGAAAATATATTAAATACACGTATGAATAATATGCAAAAACAAAAATTAGAGTATAGATAATTTTAAATGACATTGCCTAATAAATTGCAACCTTTAGTTAACTGGCTTAGAGGTTCATGACCGAGAGTTATGTTTAGGGTTCAGCCCCAACCTTGACAATTGGTTTAAAGCTTTTTTATTTTGAATTGTGTTTTATTACTAATATTGTTCCATTTTTCTACTTGTTCACAGGTTTTATAGCTTTTACATGATGATGAATATTGCGTCATATGTTTCTTGCAAACAAGTTCATCATCAGCCACTTATTAATTTCCGAGAGGGTCTAACTATCGATCCCTTTATGCCCCGTCGACGAAAGGACAAGGTGGTGATAGTTATGGGAGCAACAGGGACTGGAAAATCTAGACTTTCAATTGATCTAGCCAACCATTTTCAAGCAGAGGTTGTGAACAGTGACAAAATGCAAGTGTACAAAGGTCTTGATATAGTCACAAATAAGGTAACAGAGGAGGAGACCTGTGGAATCCAACATCATTTGTTAGGAATTGCTGACCCTAATGAAAATTTCACTTCCACTGACTTTGTTCACCATGCTTCGATGGCTGTGGGATCAATAACAAGAAAGGGTCACCTACCGATAATTGCTGGAGGGTCGAATTCGTACATTAAGGCCCTAGTGAATGATGACATTGAGTTCAAATCCAGGTACGAATGTTGCTTTCTCTGGATTGATGTGGACCTGGCAGTACTGCGTCGATTCGTGTCAGAACGAGTGGATAAGATGGTGAATGAAGGGTTAGTAGAGGAAGTGAGAGAATTTTTCAACCCTGAAGGTGATTACACAAATGGAATTAGACGTGCAATTGGAGTTCCAGAATTGGACCAATATTTCAGAAATGAGAATAATAAGTTAATAGATGAAGATGCCCGTAATAGGATTCTTCAAGTTGCCATTGAAAAAATTAAGGCCAATACATGCAAATTGGCAACATGTCAACGTCAAAATATTCTTAGACTTGAGAGCCAACTCGGGTGGAATATTAGTCGACTTGATGCAACTGAAGCATTTGAAAAAAAAGGTGGTGAAGGGCATCAAGCTTGGCATAGGCTTGTCTCTGTACCAAGTACTCGATTTGTTCGCCATTTTCGTCGCGAAGAACTTTTCAATATCCCTTCTCCTTCCTTCTTGCCTGCATCTTCTTCCATTAATATTGAAACCACCAAACCTCCTGCAATATTGTCCACTTTTTGATCTATCTTTACTAGCTAGTTTCATACTGTGGCAATATAATTATAAAATCAATAACTCTGAGATTTTGTTCGCACACGCAACAGATCCTGGAAAGTCTCCTTTTTTTTTCCTTACTGTTTTTAACTGACAGAGGTTGCTGTCAAGTTAGTTATGGACTTGGAATTCAGTGCCTTAACCTCCCTATCTAAAATATTGGAGAGTGCTGGCAGCTATTTTTCACAATAGGTGCACGGGCCAATTTTTGATACCCTTTTGTTATAGGGTATTTTTCTTAGGTAGTTTGTGGGGTCTTTTAACTTTTAGAATGTCTATATTGTATTTTTTGAATCTAAATAAACCGTGTAGAACCTTTGCCACCTCATTCTTCAGACGGAAAAACAATGAAGGATGAGTGGCATTTTGGTATCTAAATTCTGTACTTTGACATGAGCTGTATTATTCTCACTTCAATGTATAGTCATGTTTAAAAGTACTTTGCATAAATGAGTATGTAGATGAGGTGATCTCTTAAGAAAATGCTTCATGTTTGTTTATGATTCAATGAATGAAATCTTCAGTGATATGAGTTCCTCCACTTTAATTTTTTGAAAATTCCATTGTGCTCTATATATATATATATATGTTTGGTAGTATCTCCAAATGGGCATCAAGCTATAATTTTTTCCCGTTTATGGTAGGACAAGGAATTAGCTTTAGTTAGGTTAAAGCTTTGTTATTTGCTCATCATATGAAATGATGGATTTTGTATTAAGAACCTTAAAAATCAAACCCTCTTAAAAAGCAAAGATAAAAGAACATCGATACAACCCAACCCATCTATGTATCAATGTTCATGAATGACGAATCATAGATTCAGCCGTCAGATCTTTAGATAAAGGTTTCTTTTTAAAGCAATGTCTATAAGTTCAAAGCAACCATTTTCAAAACAAACAAAACAGCTTTTACTATTTGTATCTTGCTTATGCATTTAGAACACTATATATAATGTAATAGCAGAACTTTTGCAACCAACTATGGGTGAAACCAAGGAAGTAGGACGGAGCTAGAGTATCACTTACGGATACGGATAAACACAATAACTTTTGCCTAAATTCTATATTTATATCAGAATTTTTTTATATAATATATATTGTATACGTTCGAAACCGGGCTCGTCCAGTATATGACAGATCGGGACTGAAACGTGATGGATTGAAGATTGACCTCGAGTTCCATCGAACCAAGGTACGAAATCAGAACATACGTCTTCGAGGTCACCAGAGCCCGTGACTCCGAAACCGACCCCTACTCCAAATAAGCTCGAGGAAACATTATCGGACCGAATAATGGAAGGCCGAAATATCCGCAACCGGTCGAATATCACGACGGAAATCTCGACATATATCAAGGAGAGGTCGGTTAATTAGCAATTTATGAGATTCCTTACCTTTTATAAAATTGTATCTAAAGTAGAACTCCCCTACTATATAAAGGGGAGTCTAGTTATTTGTAATAGAAATTGGAACACGCACCCCAAAGTATTATAATATTATTTTCTTTCTACCAATCTTTGTTCTTCTGTATTTGACAACATTCAATTCAAGTAAAACTTATTTCTCAAGGTTATAACTGTTCAAGTCATACGGTTTGAATTAATTACTTTATTATTGTTTCCTTTATTTATAATTCAATCTATCGCTTTGTGTTAGATTAATTCACGTATCCTTAAAACCACTTATAAATTTAATTGTTATCCGATTCTAAAGGTAAACAGTTTGGCGCCTACCGTGGGGCTAAGAATAATACTCCCTCCGTTTCATATTAGATGAGGTAGTTTGACTCGGCATGGAGTTTAAGAAAAAAGAAGAAGACTTTTAAAACTTGTGGTCTTAAAAGCATAAGGGGTAAAAGGTTTGTGGGATCATGATATTTGTGTGGCTATAAAAGTATCTCATTAAGGGTAAATGGGTAAATTGAAAGAGTTTAAAGTTGAATTATTTCCAAATTTAGAAATGTGTCATTTGTTTTGGAACGGACTAAAAAGGAAAGTACCTCATCTAATATGAAACGGAGGGAATAGTGGTTATTTGATATAAATTTTCATAACACATATTATTTCACGCTTGTTGTTTGATGTGTCTCTGATTTCAAGCTTAAGTTCGAAATGTCAAACTCACAATTAGCACCTCTACGTGCTGACAATGTGTCTGTCACCTAGGTGAAAACAATAACATAGCCCCTGGTAACGAGGTGCCGCCCGTTGATCCCGTTGGAATTCCAATTGCGGACCCGTTTGATGTTAACTCTTATGTGGCTATCGATGCAAGCCTCCCTACTAGCACCGGGAATAGCATTCATGGTGGAACCCGGTCGACAACACAAAATACTCAAAACAATAGAGGAGATGGATTCAATCTACGGATGATCTTCGAAATGTTGCAGGCTCAACATGCGGCAATAACTCATTTACAAAACCATCTCGAGAGATCACTCTCAAGGAAGAACCGATTGCAGAAAGATCGAGTGGGGACGAGTCGGGAAACAACCCCGAGATCATAAAAATGCTTGAAAATTTGACAAAACGAATAGAATCAGGGGAGAAGAAAATAGAAGCAAACAACAAAAGGTAGAAACCTACAATTTTAGGGTCGACCAGATCCTGGGAGCCGTCGATATTGAAAGGCTTGGATTTCAAGAAGTTTGTGCAGAAACCTTTCCCTCCGAGTGCGGCTCCAAAGTTGATCCCTAAAAAATTTTGCATGCCCGAGATTCCTAAGTACAATGGAATGACCAACCCAAATGAGAATGTCACTTCATATACATGCGCCATCAAAGGAAATGACTTGGAGGATGATGAGATTAAGTCTCTCTTGCTAAAGAAATTCGTAGAAACCCTGTCAAAGGGAGCTATGATATGGTATCATAACTTGCCCTCTAATTCTATTAACTCATTTGCTATGCCTGCGGACTCTTTTGTGAAAGCACACGCCTGGACTACTAAGGTCGAAACCAGGAAATCGAACCTCTTCAAAGTAAGGCAAAAGGATAATGAAATGCTCAGAGAGTTTGTATCTCGGTTTCAACTGGAACGGATAGACCTACCACCAGTCGCTGATGATTGAGTTGTTCAAGCTTTTACCCAAGAACTCATTATTCAAAGTTTGGTAGCTTCACAACAGTTGAAGCAGAATCTAATAGAATATCCGGCTGTTACTTGGGCTGATATGCATAATCGATATCAATCAAAGATCAGAGTTGAAGATGATCAATTAGGGGCTCCTCCTGGGTCCGTCTATCCTGCTAGACCCATCGATAGAGTTAAGAGAGATATCGATCGTGAACCAAGGCCGAACATGGATCAGTATCAGTCGTACAATGAGGATCGAAGAAATAGTGGGTACAGACGGGGTTCTACGCAAAATGAAAGAAGAAATGACTGAGGCCATAGCAGCCGAGGACTCATGAGCAAGAGCGATTTCGACAGGCCCATCAGACCTAAAGAATCGCCAAGGTTATCAGAATATAACTTTAACGTTGATGTTGCCGCCATCGTATCGGCTATTGGATGCATCAAAGATACTAACTGGCCTCGACTTCTACAATCCGACCCAGCCCAAAGGGATCCAAACCAAATGTGCAAATATCATAGCACTCACGGCCACATAACAGAGGATTGCCGATAATTGAGAAAGGAGGTAGCCCGGGTAAAGAATCATTTTAGAAATAGGGAATCCAATAAACAAACTGAACAAGAAGAACCTCACCACATCATTCACATGATCATAGGAGGGGTTGATGTTCATCAAGGTCTGATGTTAAAGATCACCAAAGTATCCATCACAAGGGAGAAACGAACTCGAGATTATATACCAGAAAGAACTTTGTCTTTCAGTGATGAGGACGCAGAAAGAATCATACAACCACATAACGATGCACTTATAATATCGATACCCATGCATTAATCTCGAGTTAAACGTGTATTAATTGATCTAGGTAGCTCGACCAACATCATTCGATCGAGGGTCGTAGAACAACTCGGCACAGGACAAAATTGTGCTTGTAACTCGAGTGCTAAACAGATGCAACATGGCTTGTGAAACTACTAAGGGAGAAATAACATTACCATTAAACGTCACCGAGACCATCCAGAAAAACCAAGTTTTATGTGATTGACGGGGACATGAGGTATAACTCCCTGTTCGGAGGCCATGGATCCACAACATGAGGGTAGTACCCTCGACACTTCACCAGGTGTTAAATTCCCAATGTTAGGAGGCATCAAAATGATCTACGGGGAGCAACCGACCGCAAAGGAAATGTTTGCAGTCGAAGAAGTGATTCCGGTATCAACACTGGCGACATCGAAGGAACCAAGTTCGAATACAAAGCAGGAAACTAAATAGCAATTATCAACACCAACCACGATCCAATCGAATAAATAGTGGACCAATGAAGACGATGATTACGGGGTTCTAGATCTTTTATAGTCCCCGATGATTTCGATGCTATAAAATCAACGGACGAAGAGTTGGAACAAGTCACATTGATCAAAAATCTACCCGATCGGAAGGTATACCTTGCATGGGGTTAACCCCCGAACTTAGGAGAAAAATCACTGATTTTCTCATAGCTAACGTAGATTGTTTTGCTTGGTCCCATCAAGAATTGACAAGGATCCCACCGGAGATAACCACTCACAATCTAAGCTTGGACCCAAAATTCCACTCGGTCAAGCAGAAAAGGAGACCCCAGTCCGAGATCAAACATGTTTTTATCAAGGACGAGGTAACCAAGCTCCTTAAAACAGAGCCCATTTGGAAAGTCAAATGACCGGAATGGTTAGCAAATGTAGTAGTAGTACCTAAAAAGCGAACAAACTGAGGATGTGTGTATATTACAAAGATTTAAATAAGTTATGGCCCATGAAGTCTTTCCCTTTGCCTAACATCGATCGCATGATCGATGCCACGGCTGGCCATGAGATCCTCAGAGTTCTCGATGCCTACTCTCGGTACAATCAAATACGGATGAACCTGGGCGATCAGGAAAAGACCTCCTTCATCACTAGGTATGGGACATACTTCTATGACGTGATGCCATTTGGATTAAAAAAAGCCGGTGCCACTTACCAACGCCTTGTAAATTGGATGTTCAAAGAACAAATAGCAAAATCCATGGAAGTTTACATTGATGACATATTGGTTAAGTCCCTACGAGCAGAGGACCATTTAAAGCATTTGCAGGAAACCTTCAGTATATTGAAGAAGTACAATATGAAGCTGAATCCAGAGAAATGTGCGTTCAGAGTCGGTTCAGGTAATTTTCTTGGGTTCATGGTATCCAACCAGGGAATCAAGATCAATCCTGACAAGATCAAAGTTATCGAGGATATCACGGGGGTGGACAAAGTGAAGGTCATACAAAGGCTAATCGGGCGCATTGCTGCCCTATGGCAGTTCATCTCGAGATCCTCCGATAAGTGCCACCGATTTT